GTTTGTCCTTTGGCATCCTTGTATGTCTAGTCTACCCTCACGCAATACTCCATCCGACAGTCGCTTGAGTCCATCATATTGGGGCCGGCTTCAGCTGCATGCTATGCATGGAGACCCCATAAACATGAATAAACACCCTAAACCCCTACATCCCTCAACGCCAAAGCCTACGCCCTAATGATCCTAATGCATGGAGAAGACATGCCGTCCAAGTCTGGTGAGACTGCTCGACCTTACACTGAGCGTCGCAAGTGCTAGTGTTTGCAATTACCGTGCTACCAGTCGCTCTACGGCTGCTGGACTTCTGACCCTGTAGTTGCTGTTGCTACTATTTACTAGCTACAACCCTTTGCTAATTCCCTGGCCAATGTACATGGTATTCCAGCTGTTACAGCCGCGGTACCACGATTGTTGGCCTGGGTATGCAGTGTTTTTTCTACGCAGGGCTGTGACAATCGCTCGCATTGCCACTGCTTGTTTCTCGCTTGCTCATCCTGACTACGACCCCCTTGTGCTTGTTCCAAAGGAACGGCTACTTGGCTACACAGGCAAGCTCCCGCAAGTTGCATCCCCGCTCTCTGACCGCGATGACGAAGATGAAGACGATAATTATGGAGATGCGGATGGTGATTTTTGACTGTGGAGCTCAAGTGGGAGCTTGATGCAGGGCATGGCTTCAGTGTATTGCTTCAACTGTTCAGAATCTTCACGACTTCCCTTCTTCTCCCGAAGTTTTTAAGCATGATTCGGGGATTACCTCCGGAGGAGTGCCAGGTCATGTATGGTGCTTGCAAGACAACAGCCTAGCCTTCTGGCCTTCTGGTTTCAGCCAGACATCATGTGACAGTAGCCCTAAACCCTCACCGAAATTATGTGTCAGGATATTCTACCAATAACCCACGTTGCCATATTGCTATATTGTAGTGCAGCACACCCACGCAGACTCTCACACAAAGGGCCATGCACTGGTCCAGGAAACGAGCAAAGGCTCCGGGAAGCTCACCTTTGACCCAGCGTAGTGGTATAGCCGAGTACAGATCTACACGTAGGTATAGACATAAACCTTCATACAAACTGCTTCTAACTAAACCCCAAAGCCTGAACCGACATCCTAACCCAAAATAAACCGCAAAGCGCTTAAGCAAGCAGCTTTCAAGTGTCAAACCCGGCATCCCGCAGGTGCTCGGAGGGATCATTGCCGACCGTTTGGGAGGCTACGGTGCCGCTTGCCTCCAAGCTAAGGGAGCAGCTCTTCCCCGGCGCAAGTAATTAGTGCGGACCCTTGCTCGACCCTTGAGTAGTAACGAACACGGCTTTCTTTTAAAGCCTTGGGATCAGGATTTCTACTATGATCCTAAAGTCTAAAGCGAAATCGGCGAACTCCTAAATGTTCATGCTTTCTTGAAGGGCCTCGCGATAAGGATCCCGGCTATGATCCTTGGCCTGGAGCAGGGATCTACCCTTGACCTGCAGGGTAGCCTGGAGTTGTAATCTGGGCCCTCCTAAACTCAAAGGCCCGACCAGGAATCCTAAACCCCTAAACCCCAAGCCCTAAATCAGTAAACCCCTGTAACTTGGGTTTAGGGTATAGGGTATAGGGTTTAGGCTCGATACCCAGACCTCCGGGAGGATCTAGAATGTAGATCCCCTAAATCCAAAACCCGAAGCACTACACTAAACGCTAAAGCCCTTTTCGCACCCCCCACCCTAAACCCTAAAACCCAAAACCCTAAACCCTAAACTCTAAACTAGGATCCCTCAAAGGGTTCTATTTCGGGCTAAGGGGTTTAGGGAGGGCCTTCGATATTGTTTTTTTTGGGTTAAGGGACGGCTTCGTTTCAGGTTTTCCAGTTTGAGGGTTTAGGGCTTAGGGCCGGTGCAGGATTCCGTTGAAGGCTTCCCTTAAGCCGGTTCTAGGTTCCTGAGTAGTACCCTTTTGCCCTTGTTATTTTGGGCTCTCCTTATTCAGTCCGAATATTAGGAAAAAGGGTACCCTTATTATTTAGGGTTCACTCAGGAACCTAGGGTTTAGGGTTTTAGGCCAATAGGGCCTTTAGAACAGTCCCTTTGGGATTCCTGTCAGGCCTTTATCTCGGCTTGAAAGGTTCCTAGAGCGTAGGGAATCAGAGCACTGCTCATCTGTTCCCACTTTGGCTTTCACCTAAGCCCCTAACCCTAAAGCGATGTTGTGTGTCCAGGGGGAATATCGAGGCACATTGACGAGCCCGCGTTGTGAGGACTGAGTGCTCCTTCCGATTTCGATGGAGGATTCAACTTGATTTGGAAGAGGTTTCCTGGTGTGAACTCTAGGCACTGAAAGCCCTAATCCGTCTAAGTCCCTTACAGCATTTTCCGCACGTGTATCGATCCAGCATGAAGATCTCCACCCGCCTGGGGCCATGAGTGCCATCGGCTCTGCAGATTCCGGGGCGGGGGGTTTAGGGTTTAGGGCTTAGGTTAAAAGGACGAGATGCCATTGAAATCCCTTCCCAATGTCCTATGCCTGCAAAAACCCTGTATGGGGCTTGACCTGTGCACGTTTTACGGGTTCATTCCGTCTTTAAAGGCAGGACCCCCCCCCCAGTGTCACCCCTTGTCTTGGGGTTTCCGTAGTAAACCTAATCCGAACGATTAGGGGCAGTGTGCACGTTGGGGAACCCTGGAAGGAGCTCTCAAGGGAAGCCTGAAAGGAAACCTTGTAGGAACCTAGCTACAGGCAGCAACTCTTAGCAAGCCCCACCTTCAGACCGTACAAAAAGTAAACAAACCTTCTGAAACCTCCTGAGAAACGCAGCTTCAGGAACCGGGAACCGCTTAAAACCTTTAACCCTATATACTCTAAACCCTAGACCCTAGATACTCCTAAAGTCTACACCCGAAGCCCAGGATGGATTTCGGTAGCTTCGCTTTCGGTACGGCCTTCGTCGTTTTGGGGGTGCTCCAAGGCCTCTTGAACCAAGCGAGGTAGCTAAGTGGGTGTATTCGGGGCTCCTCTAATTGCTGCATGCAGTTCTTTTGGGGTTAAACATGGTTAAAATGAGGGTTGCACAAGTATTCCTACAAGTGTTCTACATGGTCCAATAAGTTCTATTGGAGTGCATGTCAGGGTTCTTCTCACAAAGGCTCTTTAAGCTTCTTGTGGGGATTGGGGTTCATCGTCTTCATGTTGGACTACGGGATCGATGAGTGCGCATATACCTTAAGCTACCATAACCTAATTTTTTGTAGGTTCTTATTATAAACCCTAATATGGAATTTATAGGGACTCTACAAAAAAGTAGGTTTTGGTAGGTTCCGGCAGGGCTCCTTAGCAAGGCCAATCTGTCGCGAGAGCTTCCAGGGGTTTTGAACGGATTTTTGATGCCTCTTAAGGCATTATCACGAGTGTTACTGTGGCTTTTAAGCTAGACAACTTACATGTAGTTGTTTTGTGTTACCTTCTTCTATCAGAGGGTCCAACCATAACCAGCCCCAAGACATCAGAGACTCAGCAAATTGGCAGGTATGGTGTTTCCCGCCGGGAGTGTGGTTTGCACGCAATGGCTGTGCCTTGTCTGGAGTGTCGAACTTGAAACCCGAAACCCTAAACCTAAACCCCTGAACGCCCAAAAAGCCTGGGCATCCTACAATGTGCAGAGGCGCTCTGATAGGGCATTCGACACCCTGAAAGGGTCAGGCGCCTTGGAAGATAGGGGAGCGGTTAGGGTAGCTACATAGAACTGTATGAAATAACATGTAGCCGCACTGAGACATTTTTAGCCATACATATAAATCTTCAAGCGGTGCCTAAACCGAGGGTTTTCATTCTGGGCCACCTTCCCTAAACCCTAAACACCGAGGGTTTTCATTCAGGGCCACCTTCCCTAAACCCTAAACACCGCGGGTTTTCATTTTTTGGGCCACCTTCCCTAACCCCTAAACCCTAAAGCCCTAAACCCTAAACCCTAAACCCCTAAACCCAACCCCCAATCCCAAAAACCCTAAACCCTAAACACCGAGGGTTTTCATTCTGGGCCACCGTTTGCAGTATCACACGCTTGGAGCATGTCGCCTCGAGAGATGGTGGCGCGAAGCCGCCGCGAGAGGTTTCCGAGTCTTCGCCTTGGGGCTCTCTCGACAACCTTGGCTCGAAGACACATTAGATATATATATATATACTAATAATAATAATAGCATAATAAGTATTTTTATAATAACAATCATGATAATAATATATATATATATACACACACATATTATATGTATGTCGATATCTAAATCTCTATCTCTACTTGTGGGGGGTTAATGATTGCAGTATGGTTCTTCAAAGGGTTCGAAAAGGTGCGTTTGTGAGGGTTCTGTACCGGGGTTTTTGTGATAGAGGGGCCATATCATTTAAATCGGGTTTAGTTGAAAGCGGCTTCTAGGCAGATTAACTATCAGAGCTTGATATGCGGGCCTATGTCTTCAGAACAGAGTGTTGGTTCGTGCTTAGTTATCTTCAGGAACCCCATGGAATAATATATCCAACACATGCATGTGTACACAGGAGTACATCTGCAGACATGCATGCATACATACATGCATGCATACATACATACACTGGCATGCATACATGCGTGAGTGTGTGTGTGTGTGGTTGCTGTAATTCTTGTTTCCTGAGCGAGAACCTAGTTTGTTCGTGAGACGCAAAACCCTAGACCCTACCCCTAGACTCTGAACAGAACATTCGTTTGCTCTATGCCCGAAATGGTGTACCTACACTGTATTTGATACCGGGGCCTGAATAGTCAGCATTAGTATTCCCTAGGCCACTACACCCTAGGCTTGTATTGCAAAGCCGCCCAGCAGGCCATAAGTGAGGTCTCATATGCAGCCCAATATTAGGCCCTAAACCCTAAACCTTAAAACCCTAAACCCCAAATACCCTAAAACCCCAAATACCCTAAAACCCTAAAACCCCAAATACCCTAAAACCCTAAAACCCTAAACTCCCTAAAGCCCTAATTTTCTGTGCTGAGGCTGCCATCGGAGCGATCCTGGGCGTCCTCGATCTCGGCCATCGGCTCTGCAACCGGACTCCTCCTCTGCAGCTCGGAGAACTTCCCCCTAGGGTTTAGGGTTTAGGGGTGTAGGGTTTAGGGTTTAGGGGTGTAGGGCTTTAGGGTTTTAAGGGTTTAGGGTTTAGGGGGGTTTAGGGTTATAGGGTTTAGGGGGGTTTGGGGTTTATGGTTTAGGTCTTTAGGGTTTAGGGGGGTTTAGGCTTTAGGTCTTTATTAGGATTTAGGGTTTAGGGTTGGCTTCTGTGGGGTTTCGAAATTCCTCTCATCAGGGGAACTGGTGGGACTTAGGTGGCTTTGTTGGGTGTAGGGGTTTTTGCTGGGGGTTACTGGTGTTCTGAAACCGGCGTGTGTAGGGTTTAGGGTTTAGGGTTTTGGCAGGGTAGTTGGAGCAGGGTTTCCTGGAGCTGCTGTTGGATACAGGATTGACTGGGGCCTGAACAATTCGTACAGAGCGTGGCTGCTTTTTATAGCACGGGAACTGTAAGGATGTTTTGCTTACAAAATCGCGAGAAACGTCCTAAACTGGGCTGGCAGCATTCCTTTAGCCTGTAACCCCACTCGGAGCGTGTACAAAAACATCAAATAAAGTGAACGAGACTCCTGATGCGGCTCAGCAACATTTCTAAGAGGGATCCTAAAACTAAGTCCCTTCAAAGAAAGGTTTGGCTCTGAAGCTTTAGCCGAGTAATTTTATCAAGGTGGTTAGGCTTCAGGATTTAAGGCACAGCTGCAACCCAAGTGCGAGGCAATGCTGCTGGACCGCCCTTGGTGGCCAACTTCGGCTGGAAAGCCGTGTGCCTCGACTTGGCCCGCCTAGATGCTCAGAGCGCGGTGTAGAAAGTCTTGGCTGTGTCGACGATTCCCTAAGCCCTAAATCCTAAATCCTAAACCCTCGTTTTTTCAGGTTGCATTCTGCACCGCTCTCACGTATTGTGCCCTAGCAATGAAGGAGTGCTGCGGGGCTCTAGACTTGCAGCCTAGATGGTCTCTCTACAGGACATCCCAAAACCACTTCATGTCGCGGTGAAAAAAGAGCCCTTGCAGCAGCCTCCTAAAGCACTTTTTTTTTATGAAAGCCCACAGGCCTCTAAAGCCACCCCAAGAAAGTTAATATAGGGGCCCAAATAATTGCCAATACTATTTTTTGGGGGCTCCTTACTGTACTTTTAGTCCCAAAAACCCAAAATAGTTTCGACGTTGATGTGCTGGATCGGGCGGAGCTGGATTGAAACATCCGCGCACAGAGCAGTGGAACTCAACAGGTAGTTGTAGAATGTAAGGAGCCCATGATGTAGACCACCCTACGTATAGGATCCCACTTTTTGAAGTTGCCTTCTCGAGACTCGTTCATAAACACGCCTGCTGAAGCTTTTTACACGTTACAGACTTGCACTGCTTTCAACTTTGCTTCCAATTTTCGTTCAGTTTACTGTTCGGACCCCTATGGAGGGAGACCAGCCTCTGACCCTGAAGTTCGGAAATTCAGGCAGCAAGAATCGGTTCGCGCCTTTTTGGCTTCTTGGGTTCATTTTGGGTTTTGGGTTTCGAAAAGGTTCTCTCATAGTTTTGCATGGCTACAGGGGTTGATCATCATCTTCTGGCTCAGGAAAGACAACAGGACCTCTAGAGCTCCGAACATTCGCTTGTTGTGTTCGTCGAAGCAAACACAGAGTGGTCCAGACAACGATTAGGGTCGCCTGTTTGTCTTCACCCTCGTGCTTTCCCCCTCGGTCATGTGTAGCCTTTCCCCTGTGCAATGCCTGTATCGGGGATGCAGCAAGGTTTTTTTGGTTTTGGTCGCTGCACCTCGGAATTCAGAATTGACTGCTAGCGAACACCCTGAACCCTAAACCCAAAACCCTAAACACGAAACTCAGAAACTCAAAGCGCGACCCTCCCTTTTTGGTGTTGCAGACCAGGCTTTATCTCACCGGCGCTTGCTGCTTCGGATTCTCAGCCGTCGCTTGGGCATCTTTAAGCTTATAAAGTTCGGAATTGAACACACACATATATATATATATAAACATATATATATATATATAGAGATATAGATATAGATATAGGGGTGTCTAAATTCTGTTGGTGGGTTGACGGGATGGCTACTTTCATTCTTGCGGTGCCTCTGTCTGAGCTTTGGATTTCTCGAGGGTCTGGAACCCAATGCCCCATACGTTCGCGATCAGCGTTAGGCACCCGTAACAAAACCCCTTCCCAAAGGGTCCTAAGTACCTATATGGTAGAATGTAAGATTTCTATATTCGGAATTACTATTATGATTTGGGGAAGTATGCCCCATAACAGTACCTAGGACCCTTTGGGCTTCGCAGCCATTAAGCCTACAAGAACCCTAAATGCAGAGTCCCTATGGTGGTTACATGAAAACGGGTATGTTTGACTGGGCTACAGTAGCGGGAAGTTGGGTCCGGAACCCTACCTCCAAGGTATAACCCCATGGCTCCATCACCACCATAGTAACATAATTATAGTATAATGAAGTATCGCAACTATAGTAGCTATACAGGTCATCAGAACTTTTTTGTCTATACGGTATATATATATATATACATATTTGTATTTATATGTATATTTAATACTTATATTTATATGTATATATATATAGATATATATATATATTTATGTATTTATTTATTTATCCCCTCACATAGAAGGTTCTTGGGGACCTACCTGAGGCTTGGGCCCTCTTGGCCGCCTCGTCGCCAAAAAACTGCGGCCGCGCCTCTTCGGCCGAGACTCTCGGCTGCCCTAGTGTAGGTTTAGGGTTTAGGGTTTAAGACTTAGGGTTTAGGGTTTAAGACTTAGGGTTTAGGGTTTAAGATTTAGGGTTTAGGGTTTAAGTTTAAGATTTATAGGGTTTGGGATCAAGATGCCCTGGTCCTAGAATCTCAAAATATTCGGAGCCAATATAACCCTAATAAATACGCAAGGTTTCTTCATCAGGTAAGACTTGTGGGCTGCGGGCGGTGCGATTTGTCATGTCTGCTGGGGATGTAGTACAGAAACAAACAAATAGGTGGAAGGGAGAGGGAGAGAGAGAAAGAGAGAGAGAGAGAGAGATGTATGCATGCATCGATGAAAGTGTTGGTTTATGTAAATCCCCCCAGAGCTGACAACAGCTGCACTTTATGCCAACTGCAAGACCTCAAACCCTAAAGCCTAAACCCCAAACCCTAACGCCTAAACCCCTTTCAAACTCTAACTAAAGCCTATAGACCCTAAAGCCTAAACCCGAAGCCTAAAGCGCCTAAACCCAACCTTCAAACCCCCGCAAAGCCTCCGCCTTGAAGGCCCCAGCCTCCCCTAAGGACGCAAGATCCGATGAATCTGGGTTCTTGTTAAGGTGATTTGATTTAAGCTACCGTAAGGTAGCTTAAACTAGCTCCCTTAATTAAGGCTTAAGGGATTAAATATAAGTTAGCATAAGGTAACTTAAAGTAACTCCCTTAAACAAGAACCCAGGAATTCCCATAGACGATGTCGGCCGTCCCTAGCCCCAAGCACCACCATCCCAAACCCTAACCTCTCAAGCCTCTAAATCATTAATCCAACACTGAACACCCCATGCCAGAAGAAGTGACGGCTCTAAACGCAAAGGAAGGAAGGCCAAAGCAATACAGCCAAAGCACGAGGGAACTGAACAGAAGGATGGCCCACAGCAACTGAATCCCCAATCTTCAGCACTTCTCCTCGCAACCGCGACCTTCACCCCGGTAAAGCCCTGAACTCTAAACCCTGGGACCCCAGAATCCCAAAGCCCTAAACCCAGGCTCGCAATGCTGAAAAAAGCCGGAGTCTTGGACACCGGCCGGGAACAGCCAAAGTCAGCCTCCCCGCTGCGAGCCGGTTGCGATTAGGGGAGGGCTGTTTTGAATTTTTAGTATGTCTTCTTCTTCTTCTCATCTGTTTGTTCCCTTCAACTCTGTTCTAATGATTCTATGATTTCTTTACTAGTCTATCCCATCATAGTCTGTGCTTTTCCATCCTATCTATTCTAATCTCTGTGTTAGTCTATCCTAGCCTATCTGGTCCCAAGCTTTTCTGTTCTGTTCTACTCAAGGGTAGTCCATTATTGTCTTCTTCTATTTTCGTACCTCTTATCTTTCTGTCGTTTTGCCTGTATGCGCGCACGCATGTAGCCATGCGCGCGTCTACATGTGTATGTATGTGTGTACGTATGTATGTATGTATGCAGGCATGCATGTATGTATGTATGTCTGTGTGGATGGATGGACGACCATGCTGGGGTAGCCACGGGGTTACGTCGAATTGCAGCTGCCATAGTCGATTACCAATTGGTGCGCTTCTCAGTGTGTCAGGCAACATCTGGCCACACAGCAAGCTAGTCAGTCGCGTCCTTGGGGTTCTTGCCTGCGAACTTCCTTGTGCATCTATATCACATGAGGCAATACATGTTAGCTTCTATGCAGAACTGTAGGATCTGACAGAGTACGTACAGGAATGTATCTTACACATGCATATATGCATATATATATATACATATATATATATATGTATATGTATAGCGAGAGAGAGAGAGAGACAGTGCAGATGTGCATGTGCAGAGTTCCTGTCGAGTTCTCTCATCTTGAAAACCAGCTAAAAACAAAATAACTCCCAAATTTGATCCGACGCCCAGCTCCTTGCTAAGGTTTCCACCTTTCGCATTTTTCACGCAGCCCTGCGTCGCTGTGCTTTTCCTCGCACACTTTGCACAGCCGCTTCCGCTTCGTTGAGGGGTTGAGGTGTAAGTTCAGGGTCGGGCTTCTCATTTTCTTCGGCAAGTTCAGGGTTTAGGGTTTAGGGTTTGAATGTGGGCGAATTTCGTAGAACCAGCAAGGTGCTTCCTTGCCTCTGCGGCCATCAGGTATCAGTTCGGCGCACCCCTCTTTTCAGCTGCATCCCACAGCTAATGTGCGAGGTCTTACGCGGGTGACTTTGGTCATGCTTCGATAGCATCTTGATTTGTACTTCTTTTTACCACGACGGTATTTATAGAGAGGGCAAATCGGTCACAAGACAGCCCTAAACCCTGAACTGCAGACCCTAAATCATAATTAAGTCCCCAACTCTAAACCGTATGTAAGCTCTTGACCTGGAGAAAGGGGCCTTGAAGACCAAAAATTCCTCAAGCCAAACGTCAGAGGTCAGTCCCAGCTGGGGGGAGCACCTGCGTTTAGGGTTTAGGGTTTAGGGTTTTAGGGTTCAGGGCTTAGGGTTCAGGGTTTAGCGGAGCACCTGAACTCATGATGTTTTCTCTTCTGGCTTCCTTTCCGCATCCTTAGGAGACGCAGAGGACAGAGTGAGAGGGGTGAAGGTTCAAGTTGGGGTCTAGCCTGCCTCATGCCAAACAGGAACTGGCAGCAGTACTTTCTCGATTGGCTGCCGCCACTGGGCCGACGCGAGAAGGTTGAGTGGTGTCTCGTAGATCGTTTCTTCGGAACCGTTTCGTGCCGCTGTAGTAGGCAGAGAAGTTTCTAATCAACTGCTTTTCTGTTTCAACGGCTCCTGGTTCTTTCTACGCAAGATCGTCGACGGACAGGAGTGTCGGTAACAATGCCACGTTGTAACATGTTCTGTTTCGGAGTTCATTCAGCATTAATGTGTAGTTCACAGCTATGAGAACTGCACTCTACATATTGATCCTGAAGTCCGAAATAGAATAGTAGCATGCCGTGAGTAACCTGGTGAGATCCTCCACACTTTGATTCATGAGCTGACAACTCACCACCAATTCGGAGAGGCTGCTGGGGGCTCCCCTCCGGTCAGACGTAGAAATCTTCGGCATGCGCACTACGTTCATGGAAAGGTCCTGGTTGTAATCGCTGGTCATCACGAGTCTCCTTCATGTTGAAAATCTGCCGGCATCACCGAGGTTTTTCTACAACTCGCGGCTGGGAGTGAGTCCCGAGGTGCAGCTGCGTCAAACGGACCCCGAAAGTTGATTGTTTTGCATAGAAAAATGGAGTATTGCGGACGGGGGGGGGGGGACGGGGATTTCCTTTTGGTTTGCGCCGAGGGTATTTCAAGCCGTACGTACCATCAACTTCGAAACCTAGCGTAAGCACTAAGAGCCTCAGTCATACACCTTTATATATACATATATATATATGTATATATATATATATATGAGCCCGATACCTTTAGGGTCTATTTAACCACGTTTGTTGTCTTCAGTACATAAATGGAAAGTTGAATGACTCCTGTAGACACAAACCCATT